AGGATTTCTTCTCAGAAAATATTTCTTCAATTTAATTAATTAAAAAAGTCAACTTCTAAGGAGAAATCAAATTGAAACAACAATTTATCTGTATCCAACAACTTGAAGAGTGACAACTGCAAGCATTTGTCACTTCAGATTTAAATTAACTATCGTCGGTTGTCATGATATTCAATTTCACTCAGCTTCAAGAATATCAAAGAAGTTTGACTTCAGTTTTTATTGCTAAAACTTTGTCACTTTTGAAAAAGGTCTCTTGGTCGATTCTCGACAGGCCTATATGAAAAAGCTGCGGATAACATACATATAAAATCCTGTACGGTAAAGACTAGTTTACTGCCACAACACCCCTATTCAAACGCTAGTTTTCTTTTTGTTTTTTTACAATATTCATTTTCTTTCTTTCAGGGTGGATGCTACTGTGACCTTGGGTGAGTGATCCTTGACTTTCTTCTCTCGTATATTCTAGGTGCCGTGAGACTGAGCATTAATCTCATTGGTATCTTGTGCTTTTCTATAACCTGACTATATGCTGTATCTCTTTCTACGACCGTTCACCCTTGTCCACCGATATATATATATATATATAGAAACGCGAGCAAGAAGAATGAAAGAACAATAAGTGAGAGGAGAAAAGGTCGAATAAAGATTATTGCCGACAGCGGCAGCACTACAACTTCTCCAACTCATCATAGGTGTGGATATTCATTAGATCGATAATACATGCACATGCACATTCACGCCATACTCCCATCTACTCATCTATAATCTCACGCACACTATCCCCACATCAACCTCTTGGTACTTCAGTCTTTCTGAAGTATAAAAGTATGCATTGTCCTTCTTGGCTATATCTACAGCTACGCCAACAAACTTACCGGCGTTGCTACCCCCACTAGTGCAACATTGAATATTATTACCACCAGGGCAGAGATTGGCAGGATCGGAGCTTCCTCGGCAAGTGGAAGTTGGTTGACATATACCCGCGATGCCCTTGCTATTCTTGCACGTGCCATATGTACAACACTGAATTGTATTGTCACCAGGACAAAGATTGGCTGGATCTGAGGCTCCACGGTTGGCTGCACATGTGCTGGTACTAATACATTCTCCACTAAGACCATTCCTAGCCGTGCACGTTCCATATTGCTGGGCGAGAGTGGCCAAAGGCAGAACCACTACAAACACGAACAACATAACTATTCGCGTTGGAATATGCTACGAGGGCAAATGAATGAGAGAATAAATATATATAAATAACGCATTCTATCACGCTTTTATATAGAAGAAAAAAACGAACTGGTGTCGGTGATATCAGACACCTTTTTTCTGTCGATTGTGTTAGTCTTATCTGTTCTTGATCAGCTATTTTGCTCTTCAGCTGACTACCTTCCCATGTATTCCGCTTCTCTCTAATATTGGCAAAATCACGGCTAAATGTGAGGCGTGGTATGGTCAGTTGTTATCCAAGAGCTCATTACATCGTGACATAGTTTATTGGAAAGTTCGAAGAAAAGCCACGCGATAAGATTTGAACTCTGCCACATCTCTCCTCCGTACAGTAAATTCAAAATTATACGGCATAAGAGAACATATTGTTCTACATATTTTAGTGTGAAGAATTTTAGCCATTGTCATTGATGAGAAGTTGATACGACTTATTGGCTTGTGTATCGAAGGTAAATTTATAATTGAATCTTGGCATAAACGAACTTTTTCTGTCCGTAAATATTTTTGATAGTCAATACTGTGATTAGATGCACCTTTTCGTTCTACAAAGCGCAAATAAACATTTGATCCATTGTCTTTCTTTTCTCATAGATGTATAGGTCAGAATACGATGAAATTAACATCTGGAATTGTGCATACCTGCCATGGAAAATCTGAACTCTACAGTCATGTAGTATTGAAATTTTACACAGAACGAAACTATGTTTTCTGTGCGGTTGAATAGTTTTCGAGTCTCTACATAGTCTTTGATGTCAAAATGCTGAAAATATTTAAAATATGATGTCTCTTAAGAAGCTTTCAACACAATCACTGCGGAAGTACCATGTGAAAGGCGGTAGAACTACTTTATCCCATGATGAAGAATGGTGTAAGTATGAGTACTGGTGTAATTGCAGTTCAGATTCTGGGTGTGAATATGTGGGTTTTTCCTTCAGTCACAGCCACACTCACACTCACAGTATGCTATTATAAATGAAAACTGTTAGTGCCTCAATACAATTATGAACTATGAAATTATAAATATTCCTTTCATAGATCCTCTTTTAAATCGTGCTTCACGAATCTATTCGCTGAATCTTTTATTTATTGTATACTTTGTTTGGCTCAAGAATAAAAAGATATATTAATAATACGCTAGTGTTCTTCAGCTTGACTGTAAACTTATTGGGATTATCTCTGTCACAGTATGTGATATGCGATTATTAAAATGTCTGTAGCGCCTGTGCTTAATAAAATCATTAGAGTCGACGTAGACGAATCACAATCAATACATATTTAAAATAATGTTCTTTTCAGCATGGAAAAAAATATATATATCAGAATTCGTCCATTTTGTTATTCGATATACATACGTATTTCTAGAAAGTCTATTATCAAAAATGAACTATTGACTGATGTTCCAATAGCAGTATTTTTTTAAACACATAAACACTGATGTAATGTTCGACATACTCGATTGTACTTTCAATAGTAATAATAGTAGATGATTTTTATACAAGTGAACAACGAGATGATGATTGAGAGAAATATTGACAGGAAAGCTCGTGCGCATATTAAAGTTTCATTAATCACAAAGTCTGATTGATAGACGCGTGATGTATTATAAAAATGACTATCGATATGCAAGTAGTAACCGTTGAGTATGAGAGATCTTGTATGTATATACACGTCGAAGTTATCTAGATTTTATATGATACTTTCCTGAAAATGAATGAGAAGAACATTCAATTTTATTTATCCGTTACAAGTGTTGTTAAAGTAATACTTTGATTCGATTAGTATTCTTGTATCAATATTTTTTTGCAAAAAAGGCTATAATATCGATACGTGGAACTTCTTTTCTGATAATTCAAAAACTAAGCAGTCGATTGTCATAAATGAGATAACAATAAAAAATAGCAACAATGAAAATATTGACACATTGAACGAGTTAGTGATTTTACAGCCATATTAAGTTTTGCAACAATTCCTTTAGACAACGATCTTCTCTTTAGAAAAGAATAGATATTTAATGATTTTCGTTCTTGTTTTTTTACTATCCTTGATCGTTTCAATCGATCTTCTCTCTTTGGTAATTCGTAAAACCATTGTGAAATGGTTTTTTTTTTAAATTAGGTACCAAACGAAAATGATCGAAAAAAAAATTATGATTTCAATTTAAAGAAAGCTGCCGTAGATGAACGCTTCATTTTTGCTACACGCTTCCTTCAGACTGTTTTGAATACAACACTAAAGTGTGCGTACATGAAAATGAGAAAACTATAAATATTGAATGATCTACTTGCATCATTTTGTCAATCATGACTTTGATTAAAAAATGTCTTTCCATTATGAATAAATACTGTCGTTGAATTTTTCTCCTTTGCGAATAGATAATCTTTTGTTTCTTTTTATCTTATTTATTTTTTTAGATCAGAAATAACCGATGATGATTGTAACACAAAGTCATATCGAAGTCAAAAACTAATAGTAATGAATATTTACAAATGCATCATCGCTTGATGAATGCCATATTTCATCTAAAAGGTGTTTTCACTGGTGATCATCTTGGATTAATACTTGTAAGTCTCGATTTTGTTCCCGAAAGCCAACCAGTTTCTTTTTTCAATAATAGGTACAACTTATTGAATAGATATAAGATTTACATAAATGATTCGAATTTCAGAATAGTATGAACGTTCTTTCATCTGCATAAGTTAGTATTGAAAGATTAAATCGAAAAATGCTAATTCTTAGGCATCATAGGAAATTTCAACCTAAATAAACCCTTGCAGATCCCGACATGTGATGCATTCAATTGGTATTCCGACTCAATATTCCTTTGAAAAAAATTCACTAACAATAATGATTATTCATGATCAGCTATTTAAATGAATAGATCTTCATCATTGAAGTTAGTGTGTCGTCAATTATCATCTTTAGTATCATCAGATTCTTTAACAGAAATATTTTATGATAATAATACATTACTGAAGTATTCACCTATCAATCTAGAGCAGTGTATTATGTAGATGTATGAAAGTAAAATAAACTTGTTTTTATGTGTGTGACACAATGCTTCAAATTTATTATTTCAAATCATTTGAAAATTATATATACATTGTTTTCTTTTGGCTTTAATAAATAGGTACACAACAAACGTAGCGTAATTAGCTCATATTACAGATATAGATTGAATGTGATTGAAATCGTCTCGATCTATACACGAGACGTGACATTGGGCAGTTCATTGACTTGACGACCCATTGCTTGTGATCGATGAAATAATGTTTGAGAAATCATATGAATGTCACCACGTTCTGTACCAGTATTGGTCATATTTCCCATTGGCATAATGCGAATATTCCAACGGCCGAAACACATTATGAATAATGTACGTACAATATTCAATAATTCAGTTCGAAAAGTACGCGACACTAATATATATAAATAGAATGCTGTAACAGGAAATAGATAGACACATAATTCAGCGAAAAAAAATGCAAATCGTTCAATAGCTAAACGATCAGGTGACTTATTTGGAACATTGCTAGCTATAGCACCATAAAGCGTATAGATTAATTGAGGTGCTTGAACAAAACAATAGACAATGACTTGTATAAATAGCATGGCTAATGCATTCTGATCACGTGTACGTTGAATACGTGTATGATCCGTCTCTTGAGTGGTGGCTTTGCTAACATTGGCCTGCTGTTCACGTATATCTCGTTTAATAGCAAGATTACGTCGAATAAGTAAAGTACTTGTAATCATTATTATGGGAGGAAGGATGCCACCCGTAATTATAGTATAAATACTGTGATAGAGTGCTGCAACTCGATTATATACGATAGCACAAATACCAGCAGCTTCACGTATCTCATAGAATATTATTGTATGAATAGGTAAGAGAAGCCAAACACCAATAATAATTGCAACTGCACGACGTGCAACATGTACTTGTGCAAATCGTCGTACATAAGCACTTCTTGAACTTAGTGCATATCGATCAATACAAGCAATAGTTATCATCCAACGAGACATCATAAAAGTTGATTGCATGATATAGACGCGCATCTTGCAAAATGCACGTATTGTTGTATTCGGATCTTGATTATTGAGTGTATAGAGAAGAGAACCACAACCCAAACATAAACTTATTATCATTATTACTGATGCTCCCAAAAAGTCTACAAAAAATATATATATATTCTGAACTTTCAGTGAAATGAATATTAGTGTCAACGGAAACTATACAAAATTATTAATAACTCGATTGCAGTTGATCTTTTAGATACGAGGATGATTCTTTAGATACTTTCAATAGAATAAAGTACACAAAGAATTTAAAATCAAAGAAGAAATCTCTTAAAGAAGTTTAAATATTTAACATTTACAAAATCAGTTTTGCTGTGCAAGGCCAAATTTATCAAATAATTGAGTAACAAAAATCTTTATCTTCCAATTATAGAAATATATTAATTTAGACAAACATGATCTTCATAGAAAATATCGATAGTTATTACTGCAAGCTATATATTATTGAAAGAAGATTTGTATGAAAAATAACTATGATATTTAGGATTACTAAGAAAATGAATACCGAAATCTCAATTTTTTATTATCAACTATTACGATCAAGATGCAAGCAAGAAAAGATTGAATCGAATAGAGAAATGATTTTCATCATGACTACGAATATTATGCTTATGTTTCAAAACTCTACTTTCGAATATATAAAAAGAAACAGCTCAAATTTAAAAGACAATTAAACGGAAAAACTCATATGAACGATATTTAGACCAGTAATTGCATTGATTAACTTGTCGTTTATTATCTTCTCAATGATCAATTTCTCAAGAAAATGAAGTTCTAGACATATTGAATATCTAGAAGTCTAATTGAAAAAAAAGTAATCAAATAATGTGGGTGTTTCTTATGGCGCATTAACAATCCTAAAGTATTCATAATTACCCTATAGTGTGATAGCCTGTCAAAGAAAATCTCTCGTTCTTCCAAATACTACCTACTAATACCTAGAAAATAGGCATTAAGTAATATTGTATATTTATAGAATTCAATATAGCTAGCAGCAATGATCAGTATCAAGAATAAACTCAAAGTTTGCATATTGACATGATAATGTAAGATGTCTGCAAATGTCTGAATATTATTCTATTTCGTTGATATTCATTGTTTCTGTCTCGTATGGGCTTCTTTCTCTTGGATTTTACTGTTCGTATTATCAATGAGATATAAGTCATTCGGTGCTTATTATTGAAATTAATAGTTAATAGCAGAAACTCGATAAAGAATACATTGATAAAAAAAAACGAATTTGATGTTTGGATATTGAAAACGTTTGTAAAAGACAGAAATTGTCTAACAATATATTCAAAATTTATAGTACAAAGATTTCTTTGAGAAGTGCAATCTTCCGACCAAACAAAAAAACAGTCAAGTTGAACTAATAGAACTTCGTTGTAAACAAAAAGAATAATTCCTTTCACTGTAAAAATAGAGAATAGTAGTCTATAAATATGTAGTTTATTGTAATAAT